CACTGCCAGGCTTGCAGCCAAAGGGGCTCCAGTAGGGTTTTTAAGTAGATTTCTATTACTGCCTTTCTCCCACTACTACAAACCATTTAACCTGGATGTAAACTGATGTAGCCTGAGGTGACTGTGTCTAATTGTCAAAACTGGGGCCTGATGGACAGTTTCACCATGATTAAGCTGCAAAAAGCTAAATTGTACGTGATTCAAGACCCAAGTACGTGTAAACATACACACGTAAGTTAGGGCTGTATCTGTATTGTTTTGTCCTTCCTTTCATTACACCTGGTTATGTTACAGTTCAATTCTCAGGTGTTGCAGAAAATCTACCTCTTTGGACTGTAGATGGAAATAACTGTGAAAAAAGTGATGCAGAAATCTAGTTTGTGCTAAACACACTGCTTTATTTTTACAACCCATGTCTGCTTTCATGAGGAAAAGTGATAAATGAACAGGCAGTCTTTGTTTTGCTTTTCAAAAACATTTTGTAGAGATTTTTCACTAATGTGAATCTGAAATTTTATCTACTCAATTCTGTATAGATTAAGTAAATAAGTATGCTTAATATATTGGACTCTGAGTTTTTCTTTATCATACTCATGTCTTCTAACTGAATCTGCTGAAACTGTATTTATTTGAAAAGTCAAGAGTGAAAATTAAAAGATGTGACATTTGATTTCAGGCATATTGTTGGAGTGAGCTGCCCTGGGAGGGGGCTGTGCTCTGGGATCGTGGCAGTGACCTGCACATTCTTGTTGGTGTCTGGTGGGAGCAGCCCAGGGCAGGGGGTGAGTAGGTGCTGCACTCTGCTCATCTCACCTGGAGTGTCTTAAGGTGGGGGTCACTTGGACCATGAAGGGCAGGAGCTCTGGCTGAACCTGCCCCTGCCTGCTTCTAATTCTGCTCATGCCTTCTCTCTCCAAAAATTTACCCATTGTAGTTCAGTTGGGTGCACTGTAAAAAATGTGGGAATTTATGCTAAAAAATAAGGGTTTCCTAGTAAGTTCATCAAGTGCTCCACATTCTGTCATACTCTGTGGGGTGATTTGTTCCTATGTACACTCCCTCCCAGTTTCCTAATACTGAAAAGTGTTCTGTTTGCCTTTTTTGGTATATACTCTAACATTTGGCAACTTCCCTAAACTGGGTTTTGTTTTGGAGCTGGTTTTGAGTTCAGTTTTCCTTTGTGTCTATTTTTTCTAGGTAGCATTTGGAATTGCTCTACAACAACATACTCTGATGTGCTCTCTGACTCTTTGCAGATAGTATTAATTTTGTTAATTTAAAAACATTTAACTTGTTTGCCAATACCGTTGTATAAGAAGTGAGCAACAGGGGTCCTAGCCCTGAGCCTTTTATAGAGCTGTGCCAAGTATTTTGAAATCCAACCACACTGTCTGGTCTTAGTTGTTCTCCTTGTTCTTCAAAGTATCCTTTGTATCTCAGACTTGTCTCCTCAAAGGTGCTGCCTCTGCTGCTGTGTAAACACCTCTTTCCCTCCTTTCTTCCAGTGCATGCTGGTACAGAGGTCAAATCTGGTATTATTTATTTCCTCGGATCTTCCCAGTCTTCCTAAGTTCTTTACAAAAACTGGTCAGATTTGCAAGCTTTTGCTAGAGGGAAATTTGGTTGCAGTTAATAGCAGGGGATTTTTGCTTTTTCCTTTTATCAATCAAGTGCCAAGTCTCTCCTGCTAATGCACATGCAGACATGTGCACACCCATTGAGCTGTATTTGTCTAGTGAAGAGTGGGTCTGAGGGGAGAACCTTTTTCACCAGCTGCATTCTGAGCCCTTCAGGCACCTGAGTTTGATGTAGGCAGAGATACTTGGGTTTAGGCCTTTACAAAGTTACTCCTCACAGATATTTTTGTTCCTTTCTGGTTTGGTTTTGTTTGGTTGGGGGTTAAGTTTTACATTTAGATTTTGATAATTCCACCTTTTTCTTCTTGTTTAGCTATTTCCTCTTGAAGGAAGTTTGTATTTCCCTCTAACAGCTTAACTCGGCCTCATCTAACTGTGCTAGCTTTTACAGACCTTGCTGACTCTGGCACCCATCGAGCCTGAACTTTTAAGTAATTTAAGAATACTGTGGTGCCTGAAGACTTTATTCTAATTTTCTTTAAAACTGTTTGTTATGTTTTAGCTTTGGGGTTGCATGTTGTTTTGGATTTCTTGTTCAAACAGGGATCTGGGCTGTACTTGTCTCATGGACTGGGACACTTGAAGCAGGCCTTTGTGTAATTCCAGACTATGCCAAGAACACTGCTCCTACAGCTCTACTCCAAGAAAATAACCTCATAGAGCCCTTACAAATTTAAATACTTTGTTATATCTCATGATATTTTAAGCTGAGAAAATGAATTTAAGTCACTCATTTTTAAAATGTATCTGAATACAGCCATTTGACAAAATAGTCCATATTGATGTAGTTCACTAACTTCTACCAGATTTATGTCCTGGTGTTAAGCACCAAAATAACTACCTCAGTTCTGCCAAGTCCATGCTGATACTGGTATTTAATCCATGTAATTTGTTGGAGTTGTTTGGTTGGTTTCTACCCTTTATGCCTGTATTCATATATAACTATTTGATCTTGGTCATGCTGCCTGTTTTATAAACCCTTTTCATCAAAGCTTTTGCTGGCTTTGTGCATCTGCTGTTTCCTGCTGGGTGGTTACTCTTTTCCTAACCCTTTTCTCCAGAGTATGGATTTTATGCACTGTTGATGTTTTATCCATTGCATTTTAAATGGGAAGAATAGTTAGAATAGTCTCAAAATATTGTTATCCATGTTTGATTCTGCTTAAACTGGGGAAGGCTTTGGGTTTAAAATTCACAAGACAAAAGTTGATGTTGAAAGAATTATAAAGACTACCCCACCAAACATCTCAGTGGCCATAAAGCAGTAGGTCAAACTGGGTGTTTGACTTAAATACTTGTTCCCTGTACAGAGTTTACACAGCTTTCTTCAGCTTTTCAGTGCTGAAGAGGCATTGCTTACACATAGAAGACAAAGTATAGTATGGATAATGGCATAAACTGTGCAGCTACATAGCAAAAATTACCTGTTATCACACAGTTAAGGTTCTCAAGGGTCTTGCATTTTACAATAAAAGCAAATACAGTTCTTCCTACAGGGTAAAGGAAAAACCCAAACTTGCTTTTTGCCACACTGAAGTAAAATGTAGGAATGTTACACACACTCTCAGGTTTTTTGTTATATAGATATCAGTGTTCCAAAATATTTCAGCATCAGTTACACTTAATGCCTTGCAGCTCCTCACAAATACTTCTGTTAAGTTTATCTTCAGAGGAGTTGGTGATGCAAAAATGTGTGATGAACAACAGTAGTGGCCCTTGGCTTTATGAGCAATAAAAGACCACTGCCACAGTGCTGGCTGAACAACCCAAACCACATTTCACACACAAAGCTGGAAGCACCAATTCTAGGGATGAGCTGTGCTCTACATGTTGGTGCCAAGCATCCAGGAGGTCTCCTTGAAGTGAGCACTGAAGAGGACCAGCAGCAGGGAGGGGTCATGTCAAAGAGCACTGCTCTATCTGTACCAAGAGGAGCCACCACCATGATCTCAGGGAAGTGTTTCTGTTTTTCCAGAAAGCTGGGCCGTTGACATCTTCAGTTCCTGCTTTTCAAGAGCTGTGTGTGTCAGAATGATTGCCAAAAGAATGTAGGGCCTGACCATAAACCACCTCTGAATTCAGTGTTTAATGCTTATCATGTGCTGTCACTTGAGCTTCCCCAGCAGGGTGGGAAAGACAACAGGAAGAAAATCTCCTGGGTACAGCTGGAGGAGTTTCAGAAGTAGATGAGGGAGAATAAAAGCACTTGCCCCCTCCCTGCCACAGGTCACTGCCCTCCCACCATCCAAGCAATGGCCACCAGAAAAGGCCCTCTTCACCTTCCTCCTCCCCTTTTATTGCTGAGCATGGCCTACAGTAAGGAATATCCCTTTGGCCATTGGGGTCAGCTGTCTCAGCTGTGTCTCCTCCCCAGCCTGTGCCCCTTCCCCACAGTGTGTGAGCACTGCCCAGCAAGCACCAAACCACAGCAGCCCAGCCCTGCTCACATGGACAAGCACTCCATCCCAGCCAGGCCAGCACAGGCAGCTTCAGATACATAGCTTGAGCCCAGTTGTCTGCTAACTTCTTACAGCTCCAGTGGAGAGGAGAGCAAGGCATCACCATGTCAGTATCAGTCACCACTGTCATCTTTTTTTTTTTTTCAGCTTGAGCAGAAAGATCAGGACAGCCAGCAATTAATTTCATTAAGGTCTTAAGTAGCTAAGAGCTATAAACACCACTTAGACCTGTCTGACAGCTTCCAACATTATCCATCATCTGTAGATCTATGATAAATATGAAGACATTTCACTTCTATACAGGCAAAATTCTTGAGCTTTTCAGTCAATCCAAGGTTTAGAAGCAAACTGTGTGTTTGTCTATTATTTGTTCAGACACTGATGTATTTTAGACAACTACCCAATTGCCTCCCTTAAGTTAAAAATGCAACAGGAAGGCTCTAACCAGACACAGACTCTAACCTGACACCAATTCACTCAGAGGGCACTGGCACCTTGGCACTTAGGAAAATTATAAAGGACAGTGCTTTTATCACCACCCAAAAAACCCCTCACAGCACACCAACTTCTACAGACAAAATCCAACCACTAATCACCCAAACACAAAGAAGTTACTTGAGTCTGCTCAAGATTTGTACTTGAACTTCACAGAGATCTACTGGCTCTCCCCATGGATTCCCTAAACCTCCTTCTATACCCACGCCCTTTGTGAAGAAGTCAACTTATGAATTCCACTGGTTTTTTTTGCATGAGGACAACTCTAATCTTCCCAGATTTTTAACTGTGGGCTAAGTTATAAACTAAAAAATACATAACTTTATCACCAGGCAGCAATTAAATTCTATTCCATTATTGAATGCAAGAAGGCATTTAAGTTATGCCAGTGGACATTAAACACACCAAACACTTTTAAAAATAGATTTTATTTATGCAAAACCAATCTAAAAGTGGTGTGTAAAAGTGAAAAGCTCTTTTTACATATTAATACAAAAGGGTATTTTTATACAGTTTCTATGTGTGAAGAGTGAGGATTTGACTAATTTACATGAACACACACAGAGTTTATTTAAAAATATAGACACAGATATTAAGTCATTCTTATTTTCTCTAAAGCTAACTGCTGTACAGTATACAACAGCTCAAAGTGCCCACAGAACCAAGGGTATCCCATGACAACTTGATTATACAAGCTTTTTCCTTAATCCAATTAGGAATATTCCTGTTTTGATGCAATGCTTCTGCCCAGTGATTGTGGGGTTCTTTGCACATTTCTTTAAGGGCTTTATTTTATGTATACTGTAGTCAAATTACATTACTATGTCATTCCCAGTAGTTCCTTAAAGAAGAAAAGTTACATTCCTTGAGCTTCCAGTTCAGCTGCTGTTATATCTGGTTCTTCATCACTGTAAATGTTTTCTGCCTGAAGACACAAAACATTACAAGTGATACACACAATTGTTTTTAAACAATCTTCTACACTTCATACAGAAAAACCCCTCTATAACACCAAGGTGGCACAACCATCATCCCCTCCTTGATGGGATTTTCTCCCTGCCCTTTCTTAAAGGGCTGCCAAACTTAGAAATGTGTACACAGTGGCTACATTTTGGCAGCTGCCTTCTTGCACTGCTCCATTTCAACAGCAAAAGCAGTAGCCACTTAACCACTAGCCCTATTATGAACATTTTATTTGGAATTATTTCAACCACAGGTACTAAAAAAAGAAGCCTGACCAGTGACACACATTTTAGTCTGTTAAGAGTTTTTTAACTCAGTTTATTCCCAAATTACTTTATTCCACATTTCTAAGATAGCTGATCAATTTCCTGTAATGTAAAGTAATATGAAATAACTGGGGATTTAAAAGGCATCCTGCTTTACAGCCAATATATGAGGGAGGAGGGGCAAGAGTAAGTCTTGGCTAATACTGGATATAAATTTGCAACTGCTTTGTTAAGAATAAATCTTAATGTCAATTAGTACCTAGAACTTGGAATCAAGAATTAACTAGCAGTTGCTTTTATTCAAGTTGGTTTAGTCTTGGTTTTCTTTTTAAAGTCTTACACTTTCTGATTAGATCGAGAAATATATGGCACAGACAACTTTCAGTCCTTGAAGGCTCAGGCTGCCCCAAGAAGAACAAGCCTTCTCAGTTTCATTTACACAACAAGCTTTAGAGTAATTCAAGAGCTGTTGTGACACTCACCATCTGCCATATCTGCGTTATGTTGTCCTCTGATACAGAACAGATTACCCAAGGCTCATTAGGATTCCAACAGAAGTCTGAAATTTTGGCAGTGTGTCCTCCATGAATAAACTGTTAAAAAACTCCACAAGCTTCAGTAAGCCATTTCAACTCTAGATAAATCTGTTTGAACCCAGGATTCTCAAGATAAATTCATCATGCTAACAACTATCCAAAGAAAACCCTGCTACTAGAGATTCCCAACAGACATAAGGAAGGTGTTCAAGTGCTTCCATTTGCTGCTTATGGACACAGATGCAGTTGCTGGGACAGCATTTGAGATAACAGTTCCTATTATTACAGCAACAACTGACATCCTCAAAATGGTCTCTCTTCACAGAGGGCTGGGCTGTGAAATCCAGCCATATTTCATTCTGATTATCTCTAAGAGCACTTACAGAGTCACACAAGACATGGGGAAACCTTCAGAACTCAAGAGAGGAAGCCTACAGCAAATTAAAGCACTGGACTGGAAACCCAGGAGGTGAAAAGATTTATGAACAGCTGCAGTTTTAGCAGCACAGTGACAAGACATCCCACTGCCACACAGCATGTCAGCACTGAAACCTGAACAAAAGGGTACCAGCAGCTCAGGAGGCCCATCTTCTGCATCTTCTGCAGACTGCTCTTCTCCAATTGTACTGCAAGAAAGTAGTTTATACTTTTTATTAAAATGACAGTTGCATTCTCTGTCAGCTTAACTGAGCAGTTCCTGGCCTTTGTTTCCCATATTTGCAATTTGTGTTTTTCACTGTGAAATATCTATAAGCACCAGGTATAAAACATCAACTGCTTGGCACTGTCATTACTGAAAAGGAATCTTAACTTGTGAAGCATATGGAGGCAAAAATCACTTACTGATGTGATGCCCAAAGATTTTTAGCCTTTTTCATATTTGTAGTTTTGTAGATTTTTAATATATAGTTGTATGATTTCTAGTACATTTCCTGCCCTCACTCACATTTAGAATAATTAGCTAAACCTTTCTAACACATTCCTGAAATTCTGTTTAGTCTTATTCTTAAGAACAGAATTTCTGACAAGGACATCTTGTTTTCCACCAGAAGTTGAGCGACGTAACAAGAAATAGGGCAAAGAAACTCTTAGACCAACTCCAAAGGACCCAAGGATGTTTTACTGAGCCAATTGATCTCCTATTGGATATACCTGCTAGATAAACTAATTAATGAACCTTTTTAAAATTGCAGAAAATTCTTTTTTCACACATACACTTATAGCCATATTTGTGCACCTGAAAGCTTTCATTAAAGAACTGCTTTTTATCCTACCACTTTAACACTGTTGCAAGTTTTGTCTTTTGAATCTAGGCAACAAGTGGACAACAGAAAACAATGCTATTAGCAAGAAACCCTGATGGAGAAGTAACTTTACATGTACTGTGCTGTTTCTATTTATACGCAGAAGACCAGACCTGAGGTAGGCAAGAAAAGCTAGAGAACAGCACAAATCAAACCTGCCAAATAATGCAGGCCTGCAGCCTTTTTTTTAACCATCTGTTCACATAGACTAAGAGACAGGAATTGTTCCTCACCTCAGATCCCACACGTTCAGGCGACGATCGGTACCACTTGAAGCAAGAATGGTTTCAGTATGAGGAGACCAGTAAACCTATTGAAAGGAAACAACTTCAGGGAGCAGTTACTGATTTCCAAAGCATATCCTGAATAACCAGCACCCTGGCCACTAATTTTTAACTCTACTCTGTAAATCAGTTTCTTCCAGCACAGAGGACATTCAGCAGCTCAAATAAACTGCTTTAGTCTTTAAGATTTCTCATACTGAACAGACAACATTATTTCACTATTACAGATTTACAATATTTTATGAAATCTGTCTAAAAATCCCTCTTACTTGCACTTAATTAAATAGGCAAAGTTCACAAAATTAGGCTTGAACCCAAGTCCTCTCTATAGCACTTTATTTTAGAGAAACCTTCTACTTGTATTTAAGGTACTTGTGGCACCCAGTATCTTTTTAGCAGTAAGTTGTTGATTACTTGCTTCAAACTGGGGAAGAGCAGAAATAAACTACATGGTACTGTTTGTAATTGTCAAACTCAACATAGTGAATTTTGATTCAACAGATTTATTTGTGTTGCAAGAACACAAATCTACATATTCTTGTCCAAGTCAGTACTCTTCTTTGGTTTTTTTCTACAAGTTGTAAGTAGTTTACCCACCTGAAAAATCTCATCCTTATGAGACTCAAAAGAATGGAGTTTCAGCTTTAAGTTTCAAAGATCCCACAGAGCCACCGTCTGGGAGACACAAGCAACAAGAAATTGGCTTTACTATAATGGCTTTCATCTGCAGTGCTCAGGAATGTAAAGTACACACAAGTGAAAACCTTGTCAGCAGAGCCAGTTGCCAGAATGAACTCGCTGTAGGGATTGAAGGACAGGCAGTTGACCTCGGCTGTGTGAGCATCTACTGAGTGACTCGGCTTGGACGTGGCATTAGATCTTGTGCCCCAGCTGTGGCAGTGAAGGGCTTGGGGCAGGGAGGAAAGAGGGAAAACAAACAAAGTTTTTATAGGAAGTTCTCTGTCACTACAGCTTTTATTACTAAACTCAACTCTGAAGCTACAGCATTCATTCCAAAACCTTCAGTATTTTCTGTCTGTTGTACATGAACAGCTTGCACCATGAAGCTAACATACATATTAGCTACATCTTCTTTTCAAGTGATGTGAACACACTAAGTGGCATGTAGATTTCAGTGAATCTGCACCATCACTGTAGCTGATTGCCATAAAGAGCTACATGAAATCACTCCAAAATTCAGACCCTTTTTTTATCCAAGTGCTGTAGACTAGGTCCAGTGGCAGTGATTCTGTTTTGGTTTTACTTTTTTTTCTTTTATATATTCTCTGTATTCTTTACAAATACATTTGTAGCCTATTGTATTAGTGGTTAGTTTCCCATGCTGTTTCCCTAGGCAGAAAGACAAAACATATTCCAAGGGCCCCTATCCTATATTGGTTCTCCCTGGCTACCAAGGTTGAAAACAGCTCATGGAGGCACATTTTCACAAAGTACAGCCAGTACCAAGGAGGGTGCTCCAAAGAAGGGGTTTGACCTGAGGGGTAATTGCATCAGCACTTGTCCTCCTAATTGGTGCTTTTTTAGTAAGTTAGCATAATTGACAAACTTATAAAATTGTATGCACCCCCATGGAGAGTGGGCTTTTGTGGACATTCTTCCAAAACTGCCCTGGAGGCCTCCAATAAAGATCCCCTTTTATATTACCTCCCATACCAAAAGTGTGTTTTGTTTCATTTCTAGGTTGAAAAAGGGCATCAGCAGGACACAGCAGACCTTACCCAAAAATCATCAACAATCTTGCCCTCTTTGGGTCCAGCATTTACATCCCATAAACACCCATCTGTAAATAAGCCACATTCTATTGAAATGCAGACTCTGATTGTATCATCTTTCAAATAAATAATCAATCACACTCTACATATAAAGAGACACCACTCTTGAAGCAATTCTTTGCTTTTGAAAAAGAGCACTTATTATGGCATAAATGAGAGCTAAATTATCAATCAGCCTTCTGCAAGTTCAAGGCCCAAGGATTATTTAGAAGGTCACAAAAGCAATTTACACTTTAAAGTTCACAAAGGAATTTATAAGCTATTATTTATTGATCTCTGAGAGTCTTATTAATTTATGGTCTTGACCTAATCCAGTTTAAAGGTTTTTTTCCAGAAGACAACTATAAAACCATCCTGTTCTTACATCAAGAACCTTAAAAAGAACTTGTGGTTGATAACAGCCTAAAACCAACTACAGCCTTTAGAAATGTAATTACAATATGTGAGAGCTTCCCCACATAACAATACACAGCTGCACTAGGACAGATTTTCTCCAATTTTCTACTACAGCATAAATTAGGAGTTGAGCTTTTTTTACAGGGGAAAAGATGTGGTTTTTTACATGATCATCTGATGCACTGAGAAGATGTCCACTCAAATTTGAGTTCCATGATAAGCCATAGCCTTCCTTCCGGTGTCCTCTTAATCCAAGTTCATGATTACACTCTCCACTTGGTCTGAAAGATAGAAAATTCCATTCATTTAGCATGTCCTTGCACACCAATTCATAGAAGCATCATTATCACCCAAGAACTTTGTTTCTGTTGCAATAATTATATTTCATACATGAACCTCTTCAGAGAGTGCTGTTACTACCAAGATTCTTTTATGAAAATGAGCATAATCAGGAAGTTAAAGTCACTGAAGATAAGAACCTTTGGGTTCCAGAGCCCAGCAACTCTGTCCCAATCACAGTTAAACACAAGTTTACCCCTCTGTGACAAAAGGCATTTTGCTTAGCTCCAAGGAGCCTGACCCACCTGGTTTTGAAGGATGTTTAGTGTAGTCAAACACCAGCACATCAGCAGAGGTGTTTTTGTCGCGACGATGCGGGGATTCTGCAGCATGTAACGGGCACGGTTCACTTCACCCTCATGGTTAATTTTAATCTCCATCTCAATTTTGCCAGTCACAGATCCAAAGCCACCAAGTTCTACAGTTGTCAGAACAATGTTAGTTTATCCCATCCATTATTTCAGACTACTGAAACAGCATTTCACAGCATGTTCCCTACTCCAAGAAACAGTGGTAGCACCTTATTAAACCCAAGCAAAGACTAGGAAAGACTCACACATGTAGCACAATACCATTAACACTTCTGATATTTAGAATCCTCTTTCAGAGCTTTAGTTTTTATTTGAGGTAGATGTGTACCAGTTTTCGCCACAACTGAGAGCTGGTAAGCATTCTAGTAGGGATTGCATATCAATGTTGTCTAAGCTCTTCTGAAACAAAAAGTTTCTTCTTTCTAATTGTCAAGAATTAGTGTGGACTGGTAAGTATTTGTCCACTTTTGTATTTAATAGAAAGTTAGAACATCATTATCAGAACAACTGAAAGCAGTAATGATACTGCTCAAACAGAACCTAAGAATGCTGCATACACACCTCCTTTCTCACTGTCAGACTTCAAAGAATCAAACTGATAATTGTTGGGAATCTGGACTCTGGCAACAACCAGGTGATTCTGTTTATCAGACCTGTGTGTTCCCAAAATCAGCCAGTGCAGAGCATAATCCTTCTGGCCTGTTTAGAATAATAAATGTTGGAATAAAATTATGTGCTCAGTTCCAGAAGTTCTGTAGCTTGCATCAACAACCCTGAAGGCTTCAGGGAGCTAGAAAAGAAGCACTCTCTAAGAAATCATCCCCTTTGGTGCAAAGCTTTGTGTAATAAAGCAAACTGGACTCTGCCATGAGCCAACCAAAGACACAATCAGCAAGGCTCGAGTGACAATGCAAGGCAGTAAACATTGCCACTGTGGCTTGAAAGGGACAGTTACATTTTGCACAGCAGTTAAAGGAGACACCAGTTCCTACTTTGGTCTAATTTCCCTAGAGTCTCACAGTACTGATTTAGGAAACAATCAATACTCTTTCCATAAAACATAAATACTGAGGAGACAAATGGCAACCTATTTTAGTTACTTCTCTTAGGAGCTTTTACCAGTTATCTGAACTTGAATCAAATTTCTCTTCTGGTGGCTGAATGCAACATTTAGTTAAAAGTGAACAGCTGGATGGATGGTGCCATTCATCTCTGAAAGGACAAATGTGAGCAGTAAAAATCAAGCAACCTCTGCATTCTTGAATGCAACAAACTAATTATGTTTCCTGAATCCAAGCAATCCAGAATCATTTGGGCAATCATAAACTACCACAGGTATTACTACACCATTTCCAAATGTAGAGGGGGGAAAATACAAAGCCAAACAAGAAACACAATGCACATGCACTTACTTGCATCAGGAACAGCTGTCCCATCATGTCAGATGCCATACAAAGAGGCAGTCCTTGCCTTAAATGGCTTACATATTTTGACACTGGATAATTGGAAATACCAGGTTTTAAACTGAATATTAAGTCAATCTGCAAAATATGAGGCAAGCAGAAGTGTTCCTCATAAGGGCTCCACACCCTCAAATCCCCACTGCATTTTCTCCATGCCATGACTATTTAGCTCACATCTATCAACATCATCCCCAGACATTCTGGTACCCAAATGAAGTGATCACCTAACCAACATGTAAAACATCCCATATGTAAAGTGGAACTTAACAGAAGAAAGAGACCATCCTCTGATAACTGCATGAAGCTTACACACAGGGTATTTTAATATCTACCTAAAATCCCCATTAAACCAGTCCTTGTCCACTACCTCAGTGGAGCTCTGAGTTGTTACTGCAACAATTTAAGTTCTGTAGTAGTTGGCACATGAACAGGTTCTATCCCCATCTTCATGATTCTTTAAGAAAATAAACTGAACCCACAATTTTTTTCAGGGGGATATGGAAGAATGGGAAATTTAAACACATTAATTCAACAATGAACCAGGGACAAAACCAGGATGCAAAGAACCAGTTTTAGAATATTCTCTGAAGTCCAGTCTTAAAAGATATCAAACCTATACTGTACTATAGATACTATAGCTTGATGGAACAATATATACAGAGCACATGAGGAAAATCATTCTTTATGAATGAGCTAATTTAGTAGATAGATTTCTCGATCAGAATTAACTATAGATGAGCACTAGATCTCTTATTTAGAAATGAACTGAGAAAGATTTCTGTGTTCACACCTCACAACACCTTCTGCTAGGCTAATCTAGACGTCGGTGAAGTATCAACTTGTGACCTTTTTCCTGAAAGCAAAATAAAGAGCTACAAGATAACAAAGAGAAGTCTAACTCAAATTGCTCTCGTCTCGCATGGGTTTTATCCTCAAGGTACTCAGCACACACGGTTGGTTAACAGGAAAGGAGCCGAGCGCCTCCCCGGCACCTTCCCGTCCCTCACCTGCTGACCTCAGGCAGTCACTGCACCGTGAGGCCGGGCCACTCCAGGGCGTGTGTCATCACCAGGTCGTACAAGAAGGGGAGCTTTTTCTTCCAGATCTTGTACTCTTCGCTGATGACACGCTCCTCCACCGCGTCCTCCAGCACTGCAGGAAGGGAAGGGATGAACCTAGGGTGGAGGGGCTGAATGGGGCTGCAGCACCGGCCGGGATTCTACCGGGGCGGGCACGGGACAGGAGCGGGGATCCCGCAGGACCCTCGGGGGTGGCGGGCGGGACGGGAACTGCAGCCGGCCATCCCTGCTCCGACCTCCCGCGGAAGCTCCTCGGGGAGGAATCCCGGAGCGCCGCAGCCCCGCTTACATCCCCAGGCACTCGCACCCTCACACCCACCGCCCGGCCGGGCAGAGGGCGAGGGACGGGGGCTCCTACCGTCCGTGCTCGCCATGTCGGGAGACACGCGGCGCCAGGAGGGAGCGAAGCGGCAGGGGGAAACGGAGGAGGCGGGGAGGGAGGGAAGGAGGGAAAGAGCGCGCACAGGAGCCCCTGGAAAGGCGGGAGGAAGGGAGAAGAGGCGAGGGTGCGCAGGTGGCGAGGGTGCCGCAGACAGGACCCCCGGCCCTGAAAGGACTGCCGGGCTAGGGCGGGGCGGGGCGGGAGGGAAGGGGCCGGGGAAGGCGAGGCGGGGCCGGGGGAAGGCGGAGGAGGGGCCGGGGGAAGGCGGAGGCGGGGACGGGGGAAGGCGGAGGCGGGACCGAGGGAAGGCGGAGGAGTGGCCGGGGGAAGGCGGAGGGGGTAAGGCGGAGGCGGGGCCGGGGGAAGGCAGAGGCGGGGCCGAGGGAAGGCGGAGGAGGGGCCGAGGGAAGGCGGAGGAGGGGCCGAGGGAAGGCGGAGGAGGGGCCGGGGTAAGGCGGAGGAGGGGCCGGGCCGGGGGTAGGCGGAGGTGGGGCCCGGGCCGGGGGAAGGCGGAGGAGGGGTCGGGGGAAGGCGGAGGTGGGGCCGGGGGCAGGCGGAGGAGGGCCCGGGGGAAGGCGGAGGAGGGGCCGGGGGAAGGCGGAGGCCGGGCCAGGCCGGGGGCAGGCGGAGCAGGGGCCCGGACCGGGGGAAGGCGGAGGAGGGGTCGGGGGAAGGCGGAGGTGGGGCCGGGGGCAGGCGGAGGAGGGCCCGGGGGAAAGCGGAGGAGGGGCCGGGGGAAGGCGGAGGAGGGGCCGGGGGCAGGCGGAGGAGGGGCCGGGGGCAGGCGGAGGAAGGCGGAGGCGGGGCCCAGGCCGGGGGAAGGCGGAGGCGGGGCCGGGGGAAGGCGGAGGTGGGGCCCGGGCCGGGGGAAGGCGGAGGAGGGGCCGGGGGCAGGCGGAGGAAGGCGGAGGCGGGGCCCAGGCCGGGGGAAGGCGGAGGCCGGGCCGGGGGAAGGCGGAGGTGGGGCCCGGGCCGGGGGAAGGCGGAGGCCGGGCCGGGGGAAGGCGGGGCCGCTGTGCTGCGCTCTGGCCGCTGTGCTCAGCTGTGGCCGCGAGGTGGGGCTGTAGGTAAAGCAGCGCCACTGAGGACACCTCTATTAAGTCTTAACCTAATGAGCCTAAATCGCCCTAAAAACGTGGATATTGATCCCCCTTCGCAACGAGAAATTTTACAATTATTGAATCATAGACTGGTTTGGGTCCTCAAAGGGTCCTTAAAGATCAGCTCATTCCAACTACCCTGTTGGGTAGGGGTGCCCTCCACCAGATCAGGTAAATAAATCTGTAAGTAAAAATGGTTGCAGTGGCCACAGCTGAATAGTTACTGTTTTTTAGCAATGGGGATGAATATTGCTTAGTTTTCTAGAAGAAACGTACGTTTTAGCTATTTTTAGTTGCAGTTTTGGCATGGAAGGCACTGACTGCATTACTGAACTGTCAAACACACAGGATCAGTCAGGGTTACCAGTTTTAAATTCTATCGCTCCCTAATGGGGTCAGTGGTGGTATCTCATACCCTGGCAAGTGGCATGGCTTTGTTTAAGCAGCCATGTACAAATCAAACATACAGCCTTACCACCATCCAAATCAAACAGACAGCCTTGCCACCATGCCTGCCCAGCCTTGCTGATCTCTCAGCTATCAGTGGACAAAAGATTGTTTAAGGGCTGTTGGATGGAGCTGTGAGCAACCTGGTCTAGTAGAATGTGTTCCTGCCCTGCCCAGGGGCATTGTAACACATGATCTTTAAGGTCCCTTCCAACTCAAACCATTCTATGATTCTATGATTTAATTTAACTGCTTTCAATTCAACTTAAATGAACACTTGCCTTAACCAGGGTAGATCTTTCTGGCAGCTAATAACACTTTCCAGAACAATAATGGAAATAGAGGCAGTTAAGAATCAGGTTAGATTCTCCCAAATGCCCTTAGAGATTCAAAGGAACTTTTTGTCTCCAAATAGCATGTGTTTTCTTGCCATGTTGTAAATTACAGTCTTAAGATGAATCCTTGCTTCAGTGTTAAACTCACAGAGATGAATCCTGTATCACCAAGGCTCATATGCATGGAGTCCCAGAAGGGAAGGAAATCAACTCTGAAGTGCAGCTCACTGTGCTTAGCTATGGATGGTGGCAGGAGAGAGAGGGAAACAGCCATATAATAGCTGGCATTTCATTTTAATTTCCCCTCTGTGAGGACACTCTTCATGGACTGAGCCTTCTAGGGTCTTGAACCAGTTTTTCAAACAAGGAATCCAGTTCTGGAAAATGTTTATGTCTAGCAAAGGCAGGCGACTCCGAGGCTCTTAACAGCAGCCAAAGGTTGCAGCACGGGAATCAGGGAATAAGATTGAGGAAGGCAGCCAGCTCCTCCAACTGGAAGCTTTCCCTAATAAACCATTACTTTTCTGACCAGAGTGGTAAAAAATAGAAATCTTTTGGTGATGTTAAATAAGTATAGATTAACCTTTGCCTTAACCCGCACAGATTGGAATCACACCTGTGGATGGCTTACTTATTTAAAATGAGAATTGCAGGAAGCTGTACAGCAGTCAGCTCCATAGGAGTGCATGAGTTAACACAGACACAGGGCCTTGTCCTGCCAGATGTGGCACCAGCTTCCCTTTGGCACTGCTTACTCCATGCTTTGGTGTTTGCTGCCAGGAATGTGTCGACTCCTAGGAAGTGCTGAGGCCTTCCTAAAACGTTTTCAGAGTGAGGACTGAACCTTTCAGAGCCTGTGTGTTGTTACAGAGCGTTGATCACTTAAACTTCAGATAATGGATAAAGGAAATCTCTGTCAGGCTTCCTGGCTTTAAGTGACCTCTGTTAGCTCTCCCAGAAGGATGATTGCGTGGCCCCTTGACAGATGAAGCACGTATAAGCATTTGGCTGTGATGCTTTTTGTGATTTTGCTGTAAACAGCAGTACTTGTGGCCACAGCTTACCTGGAATATGATAGGGGAAATGTGAATTGGTTTTTAAAAACGATGGACAAAATTGTTCTTCAATGATATCATGTAGGGCTTGGCTGAACTATTAGTGAAGAATTGCTCCCCAGCCCTCCACAAGTTTTTGCTGACTCTGTTTAGGATCTGGAAATCAAGCTGGATTGTAATAGATTCCAGAACTAGAACTAGCTTTGGTGAAAAAAAACCTGCTACATCAAGATGTCAAAATAGTTGGTAAGTGACCAGCACAGCTCTCTTCTCCTTGTTAACAATTACGCTTGCACACAACCACATTTTCTCTTCATTTAAATCTGTGCACCAAAAATCCTGTTATTAGGTGCTCTTCTCCCATTGAGATTTATCATGGAAGAGACAGTTTATAACACTATATCTATCAAAGACAGCACATCATCAACTCTTATGTTGGTTATTTGCAATTCATTGGCATGGTCATATCTGTGGCCACACATCTAAAATGTATCCTTTGATCCCCACACTTTGTAAGGAAAGCAATTATGCAAGGCTGTTGTTCATCATTTGCAGGATGTGTAAAATGCACCATAAATTAGTTCTGAAGTGAAAGAGTGACTTGAATCATAAGCGTTTTTTTTTTTATTAAGCTAATACTTCTTTCAAACCTAAGCATCAAATACTGCATCTTAATTTCAGTAAAAAGCCACCATCTCCTGCATCCTCAATTGTATGTGCTGCATCATTGCATCATGCTTCAAATTGCAGATATATTTATAAAGAATTATATTCACTTGTTAATTTTAGCTTGAAGACAGGTATCCTGATATATTATTCTGCAAAGAATTAGCTGGCTTGCTGTTGCTTCTTTCTCTTATACATCATGCAGAAGTGATGGAAGTTCTTAGCATAACTCAGCAAGTTAGGTATTACTGTGAATACTGTATAGGTATTACTGTGAATGACCATCTCAGTCAGAAAATTGTGTAGGGTAAAACAAGTTTGCACAAAAACTCAAAATTGCCCATTGGAAAAGTAAAATAGCAGCCTCAGCACTTACTGTATTCTAACATATTTGCTGTCATTGCATAGTCACAGTAGCCTGTTTGGAATAATGCATAATTTTATTAAAACATGTTTACAATAAAAGCACACTTCATTTTAATTCACTCAGAATTTCTTGAAATGTGACCATGTTTATTTTCCCCACTGCTCATCCAATATTTCTTTTTATTTATCCAGCAATTATCATCTCTCCAGTATCAATCACACCTAACCAATATCCTGCTGTCACAAAAGATCTTGAGCTGTAGCTGTGTCTTGGACATGTTCTCTGTGATGCAGGTTGGGATTTGTCTAATGGCAGCACGTCTCTGATAGTTCACCTCTAAATAGCTGTGACTGTGTTTTATCCTGATGTGCAACATCTGTGTGCTGCACAGCCATGTGCAATTGGCAGCTCTTGCTTTGCATTGAATAAAGAGCATTTATGGCAATGTCAGTACTTAGGGGAAAGCATGACTCACTGGACTATATCCAGCATTGTAGAAAAAACTCCTCTTGCACCTTCTAGGTGGCATTGCTCCCACCACTGGGATGCTGCAGTGGGAACTCATGAGCTGCAGGGTTTGGGTAACTAGCACTGTTTGTCACACTTTCAGCTGACTGCTGTAGATTTTATTGAATTTCATGCTGCAAATGAGAGGAAATCCTATAGCAGGCTTGTGGACTCTCAGTATTCAGGAATATAGAGTGTTTTACCTTTGAAGTGGAATATGTTTATTCTGTAAGAAACAAACCAAGCTTGTTCTCATATGACAAGTCTCTCCTTCACCTCCCAAAGTAGCACTGCACTGAGCTAAGACTAATCCAATCCTGCTAAACACTTTTTTTGTTGCTTGCATGGACATGGGTAATATTCCCTCAACTGGGCTTGCTGGGCTATTTCTGTGCTCTGTGACATTTATTTAGCATTTTCTATGGGTTTGGATTTTTTTTAATAATTCCATGTAGAATAGCAGGTAGATTATTTGAGAAATAGATATCAATGTTTATATAACTGGCTTGGTACACTTTTATTAATTTTGCACAGAGTACTGAAACTGGTTGAATTACAGAAGAGCAGGGGAATAGTAGTTTTTAACATGTCATCTTATGAAACAGTGCTGCAATATGTGCTGTTTTGCATGCTTTATATTTCCAATATGTGTTTTCATTGTTTAATCTGCTGTAGCTCTGCAGCCTCTGGCCTGGACAGGTTATTGCCCATATGTGGAGTTGCAGACCTGTAGGGATATTAAAAGAAATGGCAGAGAATATTTTGCTCAGCAGAAAATACTTTGGCTTTCTGATAGATGTAGCAGATATGCAAATTTTTACAACAAACAATCTATTTTCCTAGAAGTAAAAATGCTTAAATTAATGCCAACAGGGAGATTTTCAATAAAATGGAAGGAGAATTCTGACTTCTGAAGCTTCCAGCACTTGGCTTAATGGAGTTCCTTGTTGCTTGTTGCCTTGGCCTCCCTCTTTGTGATCTTGGAGGAACTTGGGGAGCACGAATTGGGAGTTCCAAGTTTGTGTCTGGGTCATGGGAATCAGAGGAGACTGTAATCCAGACACTGCTGTTTTCAGTTATATGAAAGGAGTCGAGGCAAACTGCTGCTCTCAATGATGTGCCAAAGCACAGGAAAGT